AAGCAGTGAAGAAGACTTCCCGTGCATGGTTTCCATGGTTGCCCTTCTGTTTATTCTCCGCTGTGCAGTGGCGACTGGTCATTAGGGGCAGGGGCACAGCCCCACCTAGTGTCAGCAGAAAGTATTAAAAATAATGATTACAAAAAAATGCAAAAAAAAAATAAAAAAATATATTAAATATATTTTAAGATCATGTTTAATCATCTGATTCGTCTGTACATTGCTGTATTAGTCTGTTTTCTTCTAATTAGTGTCTACAGTGTGTGCCTATGAGCTGTTTAGAGCCATGTGGGACAAAACCCGATCCTGCCCCTCCCTCTCACTGTCTAAGTCAATGGTGACTGTAAAAACTACACTGCACATGCTCAGAATATTTTCCTATTTAATGTGTGGCAAAAAAATAATGACCATAGGTGCATAGTGCTGCCATCCCCGTCATCTCACATAATTCAGAGCTGATTGGCTGTAAGTACGTGTGCCGCGATAAGTGTGACGTGTGAAGAGACGAGAGAGCTGCAGTGACGCATCCTAAAACCCGGAAGTATAAGCTGCGCATGGCTTCCCTTGACAAAAAAGCAATGAGATTTCTCCATAGGATTTTAGAAAATAGCAACAAATAAGATCTGTGGGAAACAAACCTGTTAGATAAATGCACGTTTTGTTCAGCCGGATAATATCCACATGTCTACCCTACTTTTATAATTTTCGAATCATAAATCTATTGATTAGATTAGATTTATGATAGACTTTTGAAACTACAAGAACATAAGGAGGACTTTTACAAAAAAGTAATAGAGATTTTTGTCCAAAAGGATAGGCAAATGGACTTAATCTTCAAGTCAAGGTAAGACTGCAATTTTATTGAAAATGGGATCTTACTAAGAGAGAACAATTCAATATTTAAATGATAAAATTACATTTTTTGGGTATCCTTCTGTTGAACTGTCTGTTTAAAATTAATTGAAGCATCAGACAAAAAAAGCTTTTGAAAATAATATTATATTTTGATTTAGGTCAAAATATAATATTTGTAAACCTGAAGAGTCAGTGCCAGTGCCTCACCAGCCATGAACCTCACTGCAGAAGCTTATAGACATCTACGTTTTTTGTGACCCACCACTTTTGTACATATAAAAACGCCACTGCCGCTGTGGCTCTTTTTCTCCCTCCCCGAGGCAAGCTTTTGCTCCTGCTGCTGTTATTCATTGCAATCCCTCCCTCGCTGTAATTCTCTCCGGTAGTCCACCAGCAGATGACAAACACCCACCTCTCCGCCTCTTCCAAGGAACGAGGGGACCGTGCGGCAGAGTTTCAGTTCGATTTTTTTCGCCGGTCAACATGTCCGTTACATTTTAAATCTTCCGGACAAAATTAGAAAAGTGCCAGTCAAAGGTCTTCTTTGTTATTCATTGAGCTTTAAAACAAATGAATAATGACTCTATATAATCATATATAAGAATACAACACGGAAGACGGAGATCTCTTTTTGTCCCCCTCTTCTCCCCGCTGCAGCCCAGCAGCTGATCTCAAAGCACGCTCCCCTCTCCTGCAGGGGGCGTGGTCAGCTGCAGCTCACAGAATCAGCCCCCTGCAAAAACAGGGCTGGAAAGAGCAAATAGAGCGAAATGAGGCATGGCTAAAATGCAGGATCTGTTTGGTATTTTGAAAAAAAAACAATATTTATATACTTTATATAGGTATGGCCCTACAATATATTGTTCAAATATAGCATGATAGGTCACCTTTAAGTGTCAATGAGTTTTGCCATTTTTGTGTTGACAACTGAAAAGTTGAACAGGAGAGGAATAATTGTCCTTATTTTTTTTCCACCATTGCTCTACAACTGTATTGAAACCTCTTTTACTACTGATTGTACAAGTCAGATGTTGATGAGTTAGACAACAGGTCTAAACTGCTTGAAGAAGTGGTTTATTTTTTCTAATGTATTTACCTGTGGTTATCAGCAGGAAACCGATGGACTGTCCACTCCGAGTAGGGAATGAGTCCTTAACCCAAGTGAAGGAGTTCAATCTTCGGGTCTTGTTCTCGTGAGAGGGAACAATGGAGCGTGAGATGGGCTGGAGAATCTGAGTGGTATTACAGTCACTTTACCGCACCGTTGGGACGAAGAAAGAGCTGAAGCTCTCAGTCTACCAGTCCATCTCTGTCCTACCCTCACCTATGGTCATGAAGGATGGGTCATGACCAAAAGAATAATCCTGGATACAAGTGGCCAAAATGGGTTTACTCCGGAGGTAGGCTGTTATCTCCCTTAGGTATAAGGTGAGAAGTTCAGTCATCTGGGAGGGACTTGGAGTGGAACCATAGCTCCTTGGCGTTAACAGGAGCCAGCTGAGGTGGTTCAGGGAGATGTTCCAGGCATGTTCATCCGGGAAGAGACAGAGGGGCAGACCCAGGACCAGGTGGAGGGATTGTATCTATACCCTGGCCTGGGAGCGCCTTGGAATCCCCCAGTCAGAGCTGGTTGATGTGGCCGGGAAAAGGGACGTTTGGGGCTCTGTGCTGGAACTGCTACTGTCGCGACCCGGCTCGGATAAGTGGTAGAAGATGGATGGATGGATGGATGGACAAGAGGGCACTTTTCAAAATGAACTCAAATGAGTTGTATTATTGCTGGCACGTGACTCTTTAATATTATATTTTTGTTACAAATTATAAGCGCAGTGTAGGGGTGTAACGGTTCACAAACATTTCGGTTCGGTACGTACCTCGGTTTTTTGGTCACGGTTCGGTTCGGTACGTTTTCGGTACAGCAGAATTTTTTTTCACAAAACAAAATATATATATATATTTTTTTTATTATTATTAAACTGTGAATAATGTATTCACTCAAATAAATACAAAATATAATAAAATAAACATTAAGGTGCAGCATTTCGATGAACTGAAATAATCTGTATTTGAACTTTACTGTACTAGTACTCACAAAACATAAACTATTAGTTTGGGGTTTTTAATTATTATTAAACTGTGAATATTCACTCAAATAAATACAAAATATAATAAAATAAACATTTAGGTGCAGCTTTTCGATGAACTGAAATAATCTGTATTTGAACTGTACTGTACTAGTACCTAGCAGCCAGCTTGACATTAGGACTTGCTTGTCATTGTATTTTCATGTTTTTTTAAAAGAAAAATGAACTTGTCCACATTGCTTGCCGAAAGGGCAGATCTGCTGGCACTAACAAAGTCTCCTGCTGTGGAGAACACCCTCTCGCTAGGGACGGAGGTAGCAGACACAGCCAGGTAGCGCTTTGCTAACATGGCAACATAAGGATATTTGGCGTTTGTAACAGCTTTGTCTCGGTCTGAACTTTTTGCGAGTGGTGGAGGCTTAAATGCTAGCGGGAGTTGGGTTTGCACTTCAGTCTTTTTTCTTTTGGTACCGGTGATATTCACGTTCGGGTGATGCCTTTTCAAGAGTGTGCAAGTTTGATGTATTGCCAGCCGCGTAACCAATTTTAGTTGAACAATGCCGACAAACAGCTTTGGTTCGGTCCACCTGTCTTTGTCCGTCATCCTTGTACGTAACTGCGAAACCAAAATGTTCCCAAACCGGAGACTTCAATGATGCTGGAGGATTTTCGAGCTCAACTTTATCTGCGTTCGCCATTTCGACAGTTCCTCAAATTACTGACTACATTTGAACGCATCCCTGTGACCAGCTCTCATAGTATGCCTCTCGTCCAATTAAATGACTTGCTCGCTCTATGACGCGTTGAACCCAATGTGAGCAAATTACTCTGAATGCTGCGACGCAGCACCTGAGATTACTTCCAAAAAGTTGTTCACGTTCTCAATTTTTTACGTTTAACGTTATATTCGTTCGGTACACTTCGGTACACATCTGTACCGAACCGAAGGGCCCGTACCGAATAATTTCGGTACGGGTACGTGTACCGTTACACCCCTAGCAGTTAGGTATTAGTGCAGTTTATGGTAACTTTTATTTATTCTGAGAGTAGCTTTGCTGGAGTTCAACTTCTTCCAGTTAGATGTAATGGAAGCTTGAAACGCAATGCTTTCCCCCCAACACTGACTGCAGTCATTTTCAAAGTAGAAGACATATACGTTGAAATGAAAGCTTTAGCGCAAGTTCAATAAGGAAGACCTAACACGAGTCACTTACACGTCACTCTATGGCTCCCTTCCCCCCTCATTAAATACGAGGGCGTCACCCCTCAGCAGCCAATTGCTGCACATGCTAAATTCCTTAAATGCCTGCTCTTCCTCCCTGTCAGTTGTCATTGCAGATGATCACACGCAACCCGTCTCCACCCCTCTCGCCTCCCGTCTCCTCCAGGACAAAGCTAAACCTTCCTTCTTCAGACCGGTCTCACCTACTCATCACCACCACCAGTGTCTAGACCCCGGGGATTTCATCGGAGCGGTTCTTTCCCTCCTGAATGATTATCCTGCAAACCGGGGCCTAATCGCCAAACACCATTAAATTCATATGACGTGTAAACAATAAACATGTAATCCTTACATCACGTCTCTCCGGTTTGAACTCTCAAGGGATGTGTAAGTTGACATCTGTTCACTGTTAAGTGTCAATTGACAGGTGATAACAGTTTAATCTTCATTTAGAGTGTTAATGAAACCATGGAACTGTGTGCTGCGCATCAACAGGAATCAGAAGGAAACCAAATGTCATCAACCCGGTCGTTTATAGCTTCTTAGACATATGCAAGGTAAAAAAACGGAAAAATTGAACATTGATATGATCCCTTTGTTTAGGAGGATGCTGTTGAAATGAATTCAAATGTACAGATCAATCAGCAAAAGGAGCTTTTAAAAAAAAAAATGGAATTAAAATTGTATTTATAGCAAGTTATGAAAGTTAAAAAGAAGAAAAGGGAAGCACTTAATAAAAAAAAAAATACAAAACATTTAGTAGGTTTGCTGGATGTGAATAAAGTGTGTATTTAAAGAATACTATTGATAATTGTTTTGAAATTTACAAGACAGCTTTGTTCCAATAAACAAGGTTTAATTGTATTTAATATTTCAAAACCACTCCCTCTTACATACAATCTGACATCACAACTTCAGCATCAAATATTAACCATAGACTATATATTAACATACAGCTGATGCAGACACAAAGTAAAATATATGTAACAATTTAAACATTTAAAAGTACAACAAATACATGGTAACTTGACATATCCTTGCCCTGCACAATTCAATGTGATATACTGCAACATGTCCCACAAATAAACATCCATACATACATAACATAAAACACCTTTAATAAACCAAAGCATACGTTTCCTGCACACTATGCATCTGTTTGGCTTCATTTTGCCACAATCTGTTTAAAGCACTGGTTGCCCCTTGTTTCTTTACAGCAGGAAAACAATGTCTTAAAATGGAAACTAGGTTTGCTTCATTGTAAAAAAGGATAACAAAGAATGAACTACATCAACCTTCCACAGTCAGAATGTACATGAGCAGTAATCATACATACAGGGAGATTCTAGGTTAAATACTTGAATTAAGGTGATAAGATTTGATAAAAGTCCATTTGTTCTGTCAATGCAGTGTATGTACATTCTCCAAAAATACATTGTATTCCAGCTTTACAACTCGTGATGAACCTCTGCAGCAGGAGAAGGCACTTTCTCTTTTTTTTTAATCCTTGCATACAGAAATCCTAATTTGACTGGGAGAATTTGAATGACAGAAAAATAGAAAACTCTGCAAAGCACTGCACTGTTTGGTGCAGCTTTTCAGTGCTTATTTAGATTCTTACTCTCACAATGTTCATACAAGTGACATCATTCATGGAGTGGGAACAAATAAAGCAGTGGATCCCAGGCTGTGGTATCATGGGTTTGTAAAGAGATGCACTGCTGAGCAAAGCTTGAAAAGGGAGATGGGAGCTTTTTATAGCAGCTCTATCTCCCACTGTTGGCTTGGCCTCTCATCATCCTCCGGCATAATCACCACATGGTCCTTGTCGTAGGATTTGCCACCTGAGGAAATAAAATATGATAACTTAATAAAATGTAGCACTAATTCCAAATTCAAGATATAATCTCATGCTATAATGAATATGGTAAAAATGTATTTTTTAGTAGCAGACAGTGATGGAACACATTCACATGGAGTACTTTTTAACAGTTACATTGTACAGAAAAGACAGTCTTCCTATGGATCTATCTATCTCATAATAATTAAGCGACTCATAAATGACCCTAATATAATTTTGCATTCATTTTTAGCATTATCAGGAAAAGTGTCATACATTCATAAATGATTGTGCAATTAGCCAATGCCAATGTTTTTTTCTCTCTCTTTTTTGTCATACCTTTGACATCCAGGACGAAGCCAAGGAAAGTCAGGTTGGTGATGAGGCCTCTCATCTTGGCGGACCAGTTCTGGATGGGCTGCCGGGTCTCTGCCCACAGGACCACCTTGGCTCCCGGCTCTACGTTGCCCACCACCTGCAGGCTCATGACGGGGGACAACTGCAGTACACACACACACGGTATAGGATTAGACCGGCTCAGGTAAGATGACAGGTTCAGGCTTTAGTTTGCAACTTGGATCAAACCTTATGAAATGTCCCACATATCCTGTATTGCTTACCTTGCTCTTGATGAAGCCGTTCTCATAGAACCAGACGTCGCTCATGGGCTCACACTCTGGTGTCACCACCACTCGTCCTGATTTCAGCTCCTCCACGCCGCCCTGGATCGACAGGAAGTGACCCCTCTCTTGGTTCTTGATGCGGAGAAAGTGGCGCTTCTGCAGGAAGAAAAATATCACAAAATATGTACTTAGAGTTAGAGATCAATGGAGGTTTGTCTGTGTTGACCCCACGCAAATAAAATCACATTCATTAATACCAAAGGAATAACATAAGATTTTTGTCATATTTAGTTTGAATAGTTTACAGTTTGAGCAGATAATCACATTTAATTCCAGTTCTTCCTCTTTTTTTTCATATATTGTTCTTTCTTTTACTTCTGGTACAGGCTTTGTGTTTGGTTAAACAGCCAATAATGTTATCTTAGGCATGTTCTGGTATTCATAGCAGTTAATGCTTATTAATTTGTTCTTTTTACGAAAGTTAGAAAACCCCTAACGTTTAAATAAATGTTCTTTAACTTGTGCCAATACTAAAATATAACACCAGTCACAAGAAACTGTACTCTTCAACCATTTAGTTTACTAATGCTGATTTACACATTTAATACAAATATTTACCAATATTGAGGGTTAACAAACCTGTCTGATTGGGAACATTGAGCCAATAGTCTCTAGCGAGCTAAACTTCAGCCAGTTGGTGACCTCAATTTGTTCCAGTAGGAATTGGCGCCCCCTGTAGTTACTGTATTGACATATCACCCAACTGCAAAGGAAGAGAGACAACATTAGAGAAGACTTTGCACTCAAAATGTTATTCAAAAAATAAAAGGAAACATTCTGAGTAAGGCTCATATACAGCTCTGGAAAAAATTAAGAGACCACTGAAACAATTCTCATTTTCTCTGGTTTTACTATTTATAGGTATGTGTTAAAATTATATATATTTGTTATTATTCTATAAAATACTGACAACATTTCTCTGTGATGGTAACCGACACTGGAATGAAATGGCTGCCATACATGTAGAGATTGAGATTTAAGAAACATTTTGGAGTGGTCTCATAATTCTTTCAAGAGCTGTATGTTAATGATATTATTAAATAATAAATGTTTAATGCTAAAATGTATTTATCACTTTAATGTTGCAGCTGGTGGAATTTATACTAGATTATGAGTTTCATCAAGGGATCAATAAAGTGTATCTAAACTTATAATAATGTAGGATTACATGAAAGTTATTTGTTTGATTTATTTGTATTTAATACATTTTTCTGAAGTATATAGTAGCAAGTATGTATAGTCTAGTACGTAATTAATTGTACTCAGTTTTCCAGCACTGCTAGACATTGTGTGAGACTCGTACCATCCGCTGTTGACTCTGACAGACAGGATGTGGTTGTTGAAGCCCTCTTCCATCATGCTGTGGATCTCTGAGTCCATGGTGATCTCTCTGCCCTCCAGACACTCCAGGCCAAACAGAGAGATGGAGGGGACGGAGAATGTCTAGAGAGGGAGAGATGGAGGTTCAGAGCGAGACAAAGGACAGAATACAGAGCATTTTTATTCAAATGAGGGCTCTCTCACTATCGGGACGAGCTTGGCAGAGCGGATGTAGGAGCCGGGCAGACATCCCATGCTGGTCAGATTGGGGTAGTCTCCTTCAGATAAGACGAACAAGTTCCCAGAGTACTTTCTATCCTCGTAGAGCACCCAGCTGAAACACAGACAAACGCATCGTTATGTTTGATCTTCCTCTATCTCACCCTCACTACTGCAACTCCATGTTGTTCACCCATGGACTTGTCCCCTTTTGATCTTTTTTCCTGTGATTATTGTAATGTTTTGGTAAAGGCTCCTCACCTTCCCCCGGACACTCTGCAGGACTTGGTCAGTACTTTTTCTGGGATTTCTTCCTGGTTGCGGTTAAAGATGTGACACTGGCCCTTGAAGTCTGCCTCAGTGTACAGTATCAGCTGTCAGGTAGAGATAGAAGTAAAGGAAAGAAATTAGATGAACACATTTATAACCTGAGGTGTTTTTTTCTTCTAATTATGTTTGCCTTTTTGGCACTGAATGCAACATACTACAAATCAAAGCTTGCCCTGTCCCTGTAAAAGCATCTTCATTCTTCATTTGTATAGTGGTCTTTTAATAAAAGGTTCTTACAAAATATAAAAAAGTAAACGTTTGGGTGTCTTTGGCTAAGGAAACCTTGGGCTCCGAAGCAAATCAGTTTCAAGCATCGTTACATGCCAACATGTATATAAAGGGACTTCATAAACATATGATCCAGCTTGTGGTCAAAAAATGGGGTTAAAAATGTGCACCATTCTAGTTTAATCCCAATCTGTAGCCCTGTTGACATAAAAGACATGTGTGCATCTGTTTAAAAACCCTACATACCATCATTTTCTTGTGTCCAAAAGTCAAGCTATGTTTTGGCAACTATCCTATCTAAGAGTAACATAACACTGCAGATAAAATTGCCTAAAATATCAGATACAATAATGATATGCATAAAACAAGATGAAACTGAGAAAATCAAGTCAGAATACCTGATTGCTGGTCCTTGTGCTGTCCGTTGGAGCCTTAAAAATAACACAGAAAAGCCATCAGCAACATCAGAAATGGATATTTAATTGATATTTTGAAGACGTTGTGGTGGCCCTCACCATCAGGATGGGCTGCACGGAGCAGATGCGGTTGTCCTGAGAGCCCCAGTCAGCACAGTTGTTATAGAAACCTTTCTCTAAGATGTACTGGTTACCAGAGAAGTCCACATGAGAATAGGCTATCCATCTGTAAGGAGGAAACAATCACCTCATTAATGTGATACATTCCCACTTCACAGGAGGATTGTTTAATACGTTGTAGAATCTTTCAACTTACGCCCCGCTGAATACTTGGATGGAGCGCGTGGAGGGTTTGTACTCCAACAGCTCAACGTCAGCAATGGCGTCCGTCACCTCGAATGTGTTGTCCTCCGCCATTCCCTCCTGGTCTTCCTCTGGCTGCTCAAACATCATCATCATGGGCTCTGTTAGGTCCTGCGCAAGAAATAGAAAATGGGTAAACTTTAATTAAGTCTCATGGGGATGAACAGCTATTTTGGCTGAAAATAACATTCTGTTTAAGTCACTTTTCAACTTGTATCAATGCTAGAATGTGCAGTGAAAATTAGGAAAGAGCACTGACAAATTAAAACTATCCCTGCATGATTAACAACATTACAAAAACTGCACAAATGAATTGATATACAAGGTCGAGCATCCTTATTGAAAAATATTTGAGTATTTTATGTGGCAGATCATACCTGCTGGGAACCACTCTATTCAAAATGTATTTGTGTTTTGTAAACTGCACCATATTAACATGATCCTGAGCTAATACATCGGAATTTGAATCATAACGCTGATTCAACTTGTGGCGCAGGACTATAATGGCCATTTATCAGGGTTCAAAGCCACCTTTACATAAGAAAAGACCCAATTGATGTACACAAATGATAAGATCGACAAAAGGAAACAAAACCACAAAGAACAATATATACACATAAAACAAAGTGAATAATGCAGGAAGAGATTAAGCACAGTTTGACTACAGGTATAGTTAATAAAATGCAAATGTGATGTAATGTGGATAATATAACCTATCATCGACTGCAGGTCTGACTTGACGTTTACTGAAACTCAAGATCAGATCAAAGTTAATCCTTCCATTACAAAATAATGTCATCGTTGGTTAAATCAAGGTTAAACAGTTCACCTTTTTTTGTAATTAGACAATTTCATCTGCGGTTAGCCCCACCCTTTGAATTATTAACAAACAAATATTCCTCGTTACTTACTGCTCGTATCACCCTGACGGAGCGCATCTCGGCGTCAATGCCCCCCCACACCCTCCAGTCGTGGTACTCCCCCTCCTCCAGCAGGTACTGGCGCCCTCGGTAGCCCTCCTTCTCGTAGCCCACCCAGCTGCAGAAACACACACATTATTTTAATCTTTTTCATAGTGGCTCTAAGCCCACCTGAATTGTGGGACTTCATTATTAAATCATCACTAAGAAGTATTTTCAAGGTTCAGTGGATACAAACAGAAAGGGCAGCACTCACATTCCTCCCTGGACTTTAAGAGAGCCCACGTTGTGCATAAAGGCCGTCTGCTGCCGGTCTTCTCTGGTCATGAAGTTCCTCATGTCGATGTGGATGGTCCTCGATTTCCCAGAGAAGTATGGCTTTTCAAATACCTCCATCTAGGAACCAAGGGTGTCATTTACAATTTGAACAATGATAGTTTCTAAAGTCTCAGTGATCATACTGTGTCTGACATGCAGTACAGTATGACAAGTGGTAGGAGAAGTACTCTAATCATATACTCATGTTAAAGTACATATTCTACAGTATAGAAATACTGTTAAAAGTGATAGTCCTGAATTCAGTTAGCTACTCAAGTTAAAAGTATATATATTTTACCAAATAACCCATTTCATAATAATAAAACATTATTGGACTATAATCAAACATTTGATAGATAAATGCAATGTTGGAGATTGTAAAGGTGGTACTAGTTTTTTTTTGTTTTTTTTAAATATACAGCCGATCAGCTTTATCTATAACAATAAAATATCCTGTATTGTTTGTTGAAAAAAGGTGTAGAATAACTGTGTAAACTAACCACGTAGTGGAATTAAAAGGTACAATATTTGCATATGAGATGTAGTATATAGTAACATTAAAGTAAACAATTCCAAGTACAATAAGCTTGACATTTTACTTAAATAAAAAGTATGTCTACTTAGTTACTTTACACCAATGCATATCACAGCCTAAGTATTAAGCATACTTTCTTACCTTTGGTTCACTTATATTTTCCACTTTAGGTTCACCCTGTGATGAAAAAGAAATACATTTAACTTAATAAAACAAGCAGTGGATATACTTTCATTCATAAGTATACAGACTCAGTAAAGAACATGGCTTTTAAAATATTTTTAACTGTGCCACTTACGACTTTGAGTGGATGCAGTGATCCCACATAGGGCTGTTCCACTCCCCATGCCGCGGGATTGGGGAACCCCCCCACCTCCAGGACACGGGGTATGCCCTGGAAGAAGGGATGTGCGTACACCAGCCATCTGAGCAGGAGAAAATACAGAAAACAAGATTAAATTAACCGTAATGGAAAATGATACACTATTATATGAACAACGTTATTATGTAGTTTCACTAGACAAAACATTTTTTCACAATGTATCATTCAGAACTCACAGCCCAGCATTAATGATGATAGAGTTGGCCTTGATGGGGTAACCAAAAATCCTGGCATCTTCAGACGTGTCTCTGAAGGTGACCTTCTTCCCTTCTGCGTTCTCCTCTGGGAAAAGACCGATTTCTGGGACGCTGTAGTCCTGAGGGAGGACAGAAAGTATATCCAAGTTGTTTCGGTTCTCTGATGCTGTTTTAAATGTATTTTAAAGCCCAACCAGGACCAGTTATTTATGATTGATACACATACAATCAACACATAACATAAACAACATATTTGAAAAGGATGTGTTTGCTTTTTACAGAAACATGACCAAGATATGGACTGAGCTGGGCATTTTACAAATCAAAAAGACATTTGTCATTACTCTCTGGTCCACAAATGGTGGACTATATGATGATGTTTAACAACCTTGAAGATAGCTCCAAAACTAAAAAGCTAATAATGTATAGCTTCATGGTTTTGTAATTCTTGTAGCTTATGTTGTTGCTTTGGTTCACATTGAAAAGTCTGGGACTATACAAAGTGTGAAGTATACGGTGGCTCTGCTGCACTAGTAAAGTAGTTAAGATGGAAACATACAGTGAAAAAAAAGATGTTAACAATTTGAGAAATAAATAAAACATTAACTTGAGTATATTCAATAGGTTTCTCCTTAAAATAATTGAAATATCAAATGCACCAAACAACAACAGGTGGTTGCTCGTACATTTGACACTAGATGGTGCTACAGAGTTGAAACCCCATCATAACTGATAGCTACTGTACTAAACAGCCTTTTTAGCATCAGATAACAAGGTTAAAGAGATAAGATCAGAACAGAAAGGATATCCGATTCACTTTATCCTATTTCTGACGACAGCAAAAACAACAGAGTGAAGTGAACTCACCCTGACCGCTCTTCGAATGGACCCGATGATGAACTTCCTCTCAGGCTTAGTCTCAGTTTTCTCTTCACTTGATTCTCCGTTCTGTTCTCCACCCTCTATCTGCCCGTTCTGCAGTTCCTCCTCTGGGGGGTTGAAGGGGGAGGTGAGCTCTAGGTCTCCCTCGTCCAGAGCGATCTTCTCCCCTTTGAAGTTAGGCTTCTCATACAGCACCCATCTAAGAGGGGGAAAGGGCTGGGGTTATAACCTCCACTGTAATATCAGCAGTTCTCCTGGGTGTGTTGGTATACCATGCACAGCCTCTGTTGATGTGTTCTATTATTTTGTTCTTCAACAGTGCTCAGACATGGGCACAAAAGTGTCTCCGTTTTTCTCTAAGTGACGTTGCTGATTATCTTCTCAAACAATGCAACTTGACTTGAAACATCTACATTGTAATGAATGTCCTAACATTTGTTATAATGTCTGAACATTACATATGCTAAGTTGTTAAGTTGCTGCCCATCATTTTGAGCCATGGATTTGTACTTACCTACTTATGTAGTCTTTAATTGTATTAGTAACACTGTCGTTAAAATGCAAACACTGTACATTTCCCTGCTGTGGGAGTAATAAAGGATTTCTGATTCTGATAATATATTAGTTTTTAATGGGAAACTGCATTAGAATAAACACTTCCTTCTCCTTGATATTTTTTAATTAGCTGTGGTTTGGTCAGTAATGCAGGGTGTGATGCTTCAGATGAAAGCTTAATTATTTCTTTGAAGCAGGTGTTAGCCTGGCGGTACAGGTCGGATCAGTGCTGCTCCAACTGAACACTGTGGCTAGGTTTAATAAAACATTCCACATCTGAGGCAAGTGTGTGTTTAAGCATGTGTGTGGGAGTTTGAACAATTTAAGGCATTCACATGACCACAGAGCATCAATAGCTGGTTTGTTTTGAAGTGACACCACATGAGTGTATCCGGAGAGGGTTCGGTGTTTTATTACACAACTATCATTTTGAGTGAAACCAGGACTGGAGGTGTAATCCTATCTACTCGTGCAATTTTGAAGATCTAAGGAGGCTTCGGGTTTATTGTTTGTTATCTGCAACCATTTGCGAAAGTTACACTCTAGCTGCACCGGATGGTTAAAAAACTAAAAATGTCTAAATGTCTTAAAAGTGTGCAGTGGTATTTGCTTATTGCCTTGTAGCAATTCCACTCTGCAAAGTGAATGCAAAATATACTTTAAAATCTACTTAACTTTGTAAAGTGACAAAATAAAGTATACTCAAAGCAGTCTAAAAAAGGAAGCCTTCATTTTCTTTCTTACCGTCAATGTACGCTATTGTCCCGCAATGCACAAGTAAATGAAGGAGACTGCAACAAATAAACTATGATGGGGAAACATTTAACACAAAATAAGACCTAACAGAATCACAATCTTAGGCAATTCCTGTGTCATTTCGTGCATGTACACATTTGTAGAAGTGCAGTATTTTGGGATACTAACTACTTACAGCACCAGCGGTGTACAGAAGCTACATTTGTAATGCTGTTTTTTGTACAGTAGTATTGGATTGAATATCGTTTTACGGGAAACATTTACAAATGTACATGAACTTCTGCAATGTGTGTGCCGTTCAGCCACTCACCCTCCTCTGACGACCCTGATGGAGATGGTCTCTTGCAGGTCCCATGGCGTAGCATCGATGACATCACTGCGCACCTCGAGCCTCTGCCCGCACATTCCAGGTCGGTCAAAGATATACAACTAGAGCAAAGGTGAAGAGATTTAGAAAAAGATTATAGATCAGATTTACTACATGGTGTTACTTGCGGCCCCAGGGCGGGCGTTTGCCAATACAGGTGTGATGTCTGTGACTGTGGCTGAGGGCAATTCCCTGCTCACTATGCACCTCTGCAGCCTCAGAAAGATGTATTAAAAAGATGTTTCGACAGAAAAGTAATTACCATGTAATGCTTTGCAAAGGAAGTCATTTTGGTAAGAATGTCGAAATGGCAAACCAGATAAAATCACAGGAATGATAAAGAGTTACTGCAAGCAAGAGTTTAACCTGTTTGACTGAAAAATCCTTTATATGGAAATGTCAAGAAGGGAGCCAATATCATCTTGTGGCACCATCTCAAGTTTCATGTCAAAGCATGAATCTTAAATGTCATGCTTATCCCTTAAGACATCAGATACAACACTGTAGAATGTAGGGGTATGGGAGTAAAGTTGCAGAGTTGTCCTAATTATTTATTATTTGCATTTGCTCAGTGAAAAAGCAGTGAGAGTTATTCTAAGATGGATCAATGCTAAAACCAGTCTAGTTAAGAATATAATAGCTTTAAGAGGCTCTTTGTTTCTTGAGCTTGACTTTGTTGACTGTTGCTTTCTAAATAACCTTTCCCCTTTCTACAGTACAGGCATGTTGGGTCCATTCAGGCTAAGGCCCTGGGGCATGGAAGAGTACCTAGAAGCTGATCCTAAATGTCAGCTCCACCTCTGGTTCTTAGGATTGCTCGTATACAAGGTGTGCTGCATGCAGCAGCAAGCCTGACCTTTAAAAGTCAATAATCATGTGTCTTGGAATAGGGAAATCTGTGCTTTTTAACGACATACATCACAAATACCAGGTAGATGTTGCCTGGGGTATTTGGGATGATCTGGTTAAGAACAAACAGTGAATGAATGTGTTGCAGCATAATTCCACACCACATTAACATCTCACACCTACCTATTATCACAATGAAACCTCTATAACATACAGCTGTCTCTGCAGTTTGTTCATATCAAGATAACTTTGCTATACACTGGTGCAGTTTAAACAATGGTGAAGTATATTCACCTCTAATAGCCAATTTTGTCATTATTCATATCACATTTTGTCCAACTCATTTTCAGTTTTCTCTAATAGTTAAATGTTGATGCAGAAACATTATATTTAACTATGTCTGTAGTAGGTCATTGATATAAGTTGAAAGAACATTGAGCTACACTAAATGCTTCAACCACATTCTAACCTAGGGCCTCATTTATAAAGGGATATACGCTCAAAAAATGGCATACGCCAGTTTCTACGCAATGTTTCCGATTTATAAAATACTAACTTGACGGGAAAACGTGCGGTCCTCCACGCAAACTCTAACCCATGCGTACGCACTAAGCACAAAAACGGGAGAGACGAGAAACTGCGACACCGTTGGCAGAAGGAAGAATGGAGAGAAATATGTGGAAATAATACCATAAATAAAATGTTACCTCTCATTTATCATATATGAATAATTCATTTTCAAACATTGATTAAAGCCAATCTTAAAATGATTAAACAAACGCCTGTTTGAGACTCCTCAGTGCACACAAAAACATTGGAGAAATAAATAAATACGGATATGTTATTGAAAACCACCTCGAATATGTTGTGTTAATGTTGTGAAATGTTTTCTCATAAATAATGCGGTAAGCAGGAGGACAGAATTACGTCTAAACTGACGCCGTTTTGCATTTCAGGTTGTAGATACGAGCATGGTTTTATATACTATCATGTTTAATCGTGTTTTATGCCGTTTGCCAAGACTTGATAAGTCGCTCGTAAAACACAGGAGGTATGGAAGCTAAGAACACCATATGTGGTAAATTGTACAGCTAATATAACACAACACATTAGTTGCATTTCCTTTAACTGGTGGATATAGGGTTGCTGCGGGGGGGGGGGGGGGGGGGGGGGGGGTTTGAGACGCACAGGCTGCAGTGGAGACGCTGCGCACAGCTGATCGACAGCTGGGACACAAACCACCAAATACAAAAACATAATTCAGATCCAGTCGTCATGACTCCACTCCGGAGTGATTCCCCGATCACTTCTTACAGTTTCTCATCAAGGGGGTGTCTCCTGTCCCCGGTACAAACACACTGCCTGAGGAAGGCTAGTGCAGTGTTTTTGTCATGAACCTTTTTCGGACCACTTATTTATTTATTTTGGTGACGATCCGACCTCCATGCTGCTACTCTGGTTCAAACTGCATCCACCAAACAATATGATTTATCTCGACCTCCCCAAAATAACCAGAATCTGACACAGTGTGAGATGTCTTTTTTAGCTGTTCAGTCGTCATTTCCTGCGATCTTCTTCATAAAGTCAGTCAACATGAATGAATGAATGAATGAATGGGCGTTTCTTTGACTATTTATAGGCAAATATGGGCGTTACGTGAAGCCCGCAAAAGCTGCACCGCATTTCGAGTCGGTTGTGATGTATAAAGGGAAACCGGCGTAGGAAGTGCTGTACGCACTTTCCTCGCCGGTGCGCAATGTTTGGTGAATCGGAAAATGTCGGGACATTTCTGTACCTATTTTTTGGATTTCTACTACGTAAGCAACCTTCCCACGTGAATCCTACGCACGGCGTTATAAATGAGGCCCAAGGTCTCAAAAGACACTGATATCATGCCTATGCAGGTATAATCTTTAAAGGGGCCCTATTATGCTCATTTTCAGGTTCATATCCAAGGAGTCCAATGGAGGCATTTCAGGCAGGGGGGGGGATTGTGTGGGAGAGAAGCTCCCTCTGGAATGAACTTTGGGATTTTTGCTTTTGCAGACCATTCTATCGATTTGAACACACATTCGCACATGTACTGTATCTCACTAGTATTTAGATGAATGTATTGCACTATGTCGTGTGGAGACTCACCTTTCCAGGACGAGGATTGAGCTTCCCATGCTCCTTCTCTTTTGTGAGCTACAAAAGAAAAAACACATTTATTTTAGAAAGCTTTCTTATATATTTAGTATTAACTTAGTGCATTGTCTTTTGTTTTACACACAGTCAAGATAAAAGCCAAGAGTAAGTACAGTGCTGTATACAAATAAGAGGACTATCAATAATACAAACGACTGTATGAATGTGAAAATAAAGACTGGACTTCAAAAGCATGAGCACTATTACACATTTTTAGGTTAGACCCCATGTCCGCATACATTTTATGTCGACTGCACCCAGTTTCTACCTTGTGGATTCACACATGCCAGACAATCTAAAAACATGTGTTTATGTTCAACAGGTTCTGTTGGTGCCGGGGAGGCAGAATGAGAACAAAATAAGCACCTCTATGACAGGTGTGAATACTTTACATTCCTCCCTGGTATCTATAAACCAGACATTCTAGTACTACTCCCATTGATAACAGGAGATCTGTTCTGAAATGACATGAGGATTGAGTGAGTGTGTGTGTGCGTGCGTGCGTGTTCTTTAGGACCTTCGAATCTCAGCTGGTATACTACTTGAATTTCTAGGTTGTTTGATTGTGCAACTCCGATTATGGTTGCAGATGAGTGCCATGCAATTATCAAATAGATTTTTCAGAGGGAGCAGTGTTTGGTCTCAGGTATCACTCCACTCTCTGGAAGCCCAGTAGGAAACAGGGTATGATCTGGATCAGGTTACAGACCAAAGTGGACCTCCTACAGAAGCTCTCATTTCAACAGGCCGCATTACTGGCCCACCTACCTAGCCCTCATTTACTTTAGAAACCTTTTTAATTGAATGCATTCTTAGGAAAAATAACCAAACTCAACCAAATGTAGTTAAAATGTAAATAAGAATGGATTTACTTTCTACATTTTTTACATTTTCAGTTAAAGCAAGGTGAGGGGATCAATGGTGCTTTTTCAGTATTGACCTTGTGAATAAGAGTCATTCACTGTTCACAAATGTACTATATAACAACAGAAGTTTCCATCTATAAAGCCTATTAGAAAATCTACTCCCTTTTATCTGTGAATTCCCTGCATTTTGAGTCAAGAAGATTAAATGTTTAGCAGATGATTATCTCTTATTTCTCACAAAATACATTAGCTCCACTTGTATCATGCTTTACATAAAACCAGGAATAAGTGTTAAACCAAAGCTTATTAAAGGCAGAGCTTCAAGATACCTTTTTCAACAATTTTTAAAACAAAGGACTCAAGTTCAATGTATTAATTTGTCTCGCAGCCGGACATGGCATAATGTGACTGTACTGTATGTTCATGTTATCTTTACAATTGAGTGACAAACACTGAGACAATGGAGGAGTAGTTGTCGTATCATCTCGCCTGACTGCGACACTTGAATCGGTCTCACAAGGTTTCTTTACAGATAATTTGAGGGACAGTCATGCTTCTTAGAAGGATTATTACTCAACTCATCTGACAACCATCGGCAAAGGCCAGTGTGACTAAAAGTCTAAGGGTGGAATGTTTTAAGTTGGCCTGACAAATTAGGCGTTGGAATTGTATTTGTGATGTCTATACAATTAAGTCCTTCACTGGTTGTCTATTGGTTGCATTTTGGACAACACATAATCCAGCTAGTCTCCACATGGAGAACCAGTTAAATACATTATTCTGTTCTTTGAATTTTTCATTTGTTAAATGGTAATATTCTAACCTAATGATGCCATTTAATCACATTACATGTATCTTAATTAAACTCTCACTTGGTTCTTGAGGCACACGTATACATTATAGCAATAAAATAATGGCAAATCACTCACATTCCAATAATTAATACTTCCTCTAAAAGAAGTTCCAATGAAGTCCTGTCAACGCTTTACTCACTGCTGTGTGGTTTTTGCACATGTATTTCAAGTACCAACTTTATGTCTTCACTATGCAGCTAAAGAAAACCCAGCATTATTCATTAGGAGTTCATTGTTTACTGCTGCTTTAATGCCTAATACAAATCTATACTACAACGCATATTTTCCCCCTCTCGATCCTTTCACTCCCAGCAGCCTGAAACACGATCTGCTCTCCCATCAAATTAATAACCACATTGTGGAATGTGCCGTTTCAGCAAAGGACATAATAAAAGAAGACACACAAAGATGTGCGAGGAAACTAACGATCAGAGTAAATGAACACTAATAAGAGGAAACAAATCATCTCTTTGCCATCTTTTCTCACCCTGCCAACTTCATATTCCTCCCTGTCAACTTCACTCAATCAAATATCAACGAATCAAGAAGAGAAATATGCGAAAGAAAACAAAAGACGAGGTGTGGCTGTGTCTCTGCAGGATCCGACAGATAACTGGAATGAGTGGATAGCCCAGTAGAGAAAAAAAACAGAGAACATTTTCTGCAGGGATAAAATGATTTCGAGGCCTCACGCCCACCAGCTGATGGTTTACATGCATTGAAGAGTTTACAGCATGTGCTTATAGATACACACTCATCCTGCAGCCTGTTTAAAAGTCCCATAAAAGAGACGTGTGCCCAGGGGTTAGTTCAATAGCATCGTTGTTTCCATTTCTTCTTTCTTTGTATTGACGTGGCCCAAGCAGGATGCAGCTGTAAAATATATCCCTGTTCCAACCCACTGCATAACAGGAAACCAACACACTACTTTAACTGATACAAGCCAGTTCATTGTCTGAATACCTTGTGTACATAACTTTAGTTTACACAGCGTTATGTATTTTATGTAGAACTGAATTCTATAAATCTACATTATAGTACATTATAAGCATTATAACTACCAGTAGAGATAATGGGCCTTTTAGGTTTACAAAAAGTGGCCTGATATCCAGATCAAAGAAACAAGTGATAGGTGACTACCTGTAATTAGCTGCTTCTGTGGTAGTAATCATAAGGGTGGTGACATTGGATCCTGCCTTCTGTCTGCCTTCTCTCCATGCTGTTTCAAAGGGCTGTTATAAATTCTCGACTAAGGTGGACAGTTTAAAACGTGTGAAATGTTTGTTGTGCTGCAGAAATATATTCCCTGTACGTTTTTCAAAGGGCCCCTCTCTAAAGCATCAGTTTCAGCGGCTCAGTCAGTCATACACTGAACAAAAATATAAATGCAACACTTTTGTTTTTGCTCCCATTTTTCATGAGATGAACTCAAAGATCTAAAACATTTTCTATATACACAAAATAACCATTTCTCTCAAATATTGTTCACAAATCTGAAAAAATCTGTGATAGTGAGCACTTCTCCTTTGCCGAGATAATCCATCCCACCTCACAGGTGTGGCATATCAAGATGCTGATTAGACAGCATGATTATTGCACAGGTGTGCCTTAGGCTGGCCACAATAAAAGGCCACTCTGAAACGTGCAGTTTTGCTTTATTGGGGGGGTCTGGGGGGGTCCGAAAACCAGTCAGTATCTGGTGTGACCACCATTTGCCTCACGCAGTGCAACACATCTCCTTCGCATAGAGTTGATCAGGTTGTTGATTGTGGCCTGTGGAATGTTGGTCCACTCCTCTTCAATGGCTGTGCGAAGTTGCTGGATATTGGCAGGAACTGGAACACGCTGTCGTATATGCCGATCCAGAGCTTCCCAAACATGCTCAATGGGTGACATGTCCGGTGAGTATGCTGGCCATGCAAGAACTGGGATGTTTTCAGCCTCCAGGAATTGTGTACAGATCCTTGCAACATGGGGCCGTGCATTATCAAGCAACATTCAATTCACGGGAAACAGCTCTGGTGGACATTCCTGCTGTCAGCATGCCAATTGCACGCTCCCTCAAAACTTGCGACATCTGTGGCATTGTGCTGTCTGATAAAACTGAACATTTCAGAGTGGCCTTTTATTGTGGCCAGCCTAAGGCACACCTGTGCAATAATCATGCTGTCTAATCAGCATCTTGATATGCCACACCTGTGAGGTGGGATGGATTATCTCGGCAAAGGAGAAGTGCTCACTATCACAGATCTTTTCAGATTTGTGAACAATATTTGAGATAAATGGTTATTTTGTGTATATAGAAAATGTTTTAGATCTTTGAGTTCATCTCATGAAAAATGGGAGCAAAAACAAAAGTGTTGCATTTATATTTTTGTTCAGTCAGACTACATACTTTAGCCGGGGAAAAGGAGCTGCTGCAGACATATAACTGAGGCCATCTATGTATTGCATGAACATGAACAAACATCCTGTGCAAACACTTGTATTCAAACAGCACAGGATAGCTGTAGAGCAAACAGTACTTACATCTCTAGTATCCAGCTGATACTCTGTTGTTGTTGCACGGAAACAAATAACACTACGCACATGTGGTATGCATGGGAGTAAATTAACAAATAATACCCGTAGGGAACAGCAGAATTAAAAAGTACAATGCTAGGAAATGTTTGTACTGCTTGTCACTGTTGGCATAGTACATCTATGGTTAAAGGATTGGTTAATAGTAGGGTGTGAGATCAACTGTTCTGTTCTGTACAGAGGTGAGAACAATAAACATTTGCAGTGTGAGCCACAAACGTTGCCAAAAACAGAAAGACAGGTAGAAACACAAGTAGAGAGCGTGTGTGTGCACACTTGTGAAATGATGTTCTTTCTCATTTAAAGACTTGTCCTAATCAGTTAAACACTTCACCTGAATGCGTGCACCGGAGAGCGAGTGCATTCATGCATGAACACAAGACTGCATACACACCCTTTTTTCTGATTCTGCGTGGGGAGTGCATGTACCTGACAGGTGGGGCTTAACGGTTTGGGTCTAATACACTTTTATTTTTTTGCCAGGCATGTTTGCTAAGCCTTAAGGAGCACCACTTATGCACTGAGTTACACCAAAACCAGCCACTTCCAATTTCTCATACACATACTTGATTGAAATATCTCTATTAATGGTTCATGATGCAGTATCTGAAGCAACATAAAGAGTGTTTTTTCCTGTGTGCACAACAACCTACATTTGAAGTCATCTCTCTCACCTAACCTGACTTGCTGCCTGTCTTTTTCACAACCTGATCTGGGAGGTAGGCTAGGAGCCAACATAATAAAAGAGTAAACACAGGTATAATACAAAAGGAAGATATATGTGTAGAGGATCTTCTTTGTAATGCTGTTACTGTATAGCTACCATTTTAAGCCGCACACACTGTATTTGCATACAGTGCATGCATGTAAGTATGAAGAATGATGTCACAAGAAGATAAGTGCTTCTTCTACAGCATTCTCAAACTAAACTTTCCCTGGGGTTCTATAAAATGTGTGACTCATGCAATGTGGGCCTGCTCCAACAGACATTACCTCTGCAAGCTATTCACCAAAACGTAGACTAGCAATATTCCTTATAGAATTGCAAATCCCCATTTTTCTGCAGCAACATCATGCTTGTGAAAATGTAAAATGTATTTGGCCTCCGTGGTGATATACAGAGAGCTGCAGGAGTGAGTCCTTAAACCCAGAAATGAGTTAGCTATAAGCACTTTGTTACTTCATATCAATGTTTTGTTTTTTTAAATTGGTTGGATGTCTGAAATAAGGTCTGACTTCTTATTGAACTGGTATAAATTGTTCAGGGGATTGCTAATATACTTCAAAATGTTTACAATTGGTGTTAACTTATGACGATGATCCTTCTGAAAGAACATTTATTCCTCACCGAGCTAATTCTCTGCAAAAATCCAATAAAAAAGAATTCCCCTTGGGCGTTTGTTGAGGGAAATTTGATGCTAACTTCTGCTTACGTGGACTACAACTATAAGTTATCCCTGCACCACATGTATGTCTTCTAAGCAATAACACTAAGTGACACTTTATAACTTTTTTAGGAATACTCACATAGGCATCAGGGAAGGCCCTGTATTTGGATGCTAAAATCTTCTCAGGCTCCATTTCTTGCCTGGCCTGGTAGCCCCCCATGCCGCCATCACTACTGAAGCTCCTCTGCAGGATAGGATTGCGCAGTGCTCCAGTACCTGCACCAGTCCCCTGTGTCTGGCCGAACATGGATAAGGGGAAGTTTGCGGTGTTGTAAGGCCTCTGGAGGTCTATGGGGCTGGTGGGGCTGAGGAGGCGGGTGGGACTGTTGCTGGAGGTGGGTGAGCCGATGCCCAGCAGGGGGGGCCGACTCAAACGACTGTTGGGGTCTTCGGCCCCGGACATGGAGCTCGACGAGGAGTTCAAAAGGAAGGAGAGACGCTCGAAGCGAGACCCCCCTGCTTCTGTTCCCGGTTCACCGAGCTTCTTGTGTCCCATACTGATGCGGTCGTTTGAAAGCCCCGTATCAGGGAGCGAGCCGGTGCGGAAGAGCGGGTGATGGGCCTTTCCGTTTTCCATGGTCTGATCTATGGATGATAACCTGTGGTTTTTAAAGATGAGACTGTTGTCTATGCGGGAGCCAATGCCGGAAGGTGAATGCAATCCATTTCCATTCAGCACGGGGGATTTTAATTCCTCAGGCGAAGAGTCAAAGGATGTTCTCATTACTAGACTGTTGGTTGCAGACACTCTCAGGGGCAAGTTCAGCATATTGGATCCAGGCGGCTGCTGCTCCTACAGGGGAGTAAAGAAAGGTAAAGGCTTGATTAGACCAAGTTGCAAAACAGAACATCCAGTCTCCTGTTATTTCAGATAAACCACAGATGGATAATTGAAAAATGTAGTTGTTTTTTTTACCAGTTAATGAGTTAAAAAAACAGCTGTCAAACCATTTCCAACTGCTAAATATATTTATATAAATAGTACTGTTATGTCATGAGCCTAGATGTAGATTGTCATGCTCAATGCAATAATATGCATGAACTGTTGTTGTGAAAAACTGAAAACAGTCTAACCCTGATTTAAATTGCATTTTAGAAGTATGAGATTACGTGTTTTGACTAAGTAACAACAATTCACAGAATTGAAAATGTCTGAATGTACTCTACCTGCTGGTTCTGCTTGAGTAGTTCCAGTGGTGAGCGAGTGTCTCTGGTGATGTTCCTCTTCAGTCCCAGATCAGCAGGCAGAGTGTAATTTACTTTGATTGACTCTGCAGGGTTTCCCATTGCCTCCATCTTTTTAGTGGGGCTCCTGATGAAGTCAGGCATGTCGAAGGTGATGGGGCTGGGAGCATCCTCATTGATCGGTGGCAGGGAGGAGAGGAGGACCGGAGGAGGCCCACGAAGTCCTGTGTTCCTGGGTCTAAAGGAAGGTCCCATGTTCTTCAGGGTATCCACTAGGCTATCCATGTCCAACTGGTACGGGGAGTCTGCGTCGGGGGAGGAAGGGGGAGTGGAGGGGCGAGCTGCAGGCTCGGAAACTAGCTCCACCAGCGTGGCCTTGAACACTCCAGTAAAACGGAATGAGTCGTCGTCTTTGTCTTGGAAACTGTCGAAGGTGTCCTGGATGGATTGTTGTGTCGAGGTGAAGCTAGACGAAGGCAGCTGCTGTGAGTCCCAGCCTGACTTTATCCTCTCTGACTCTGCCTCTCTCTCCATGGCAGGTGCAGCAGGCTCCTCCTCCTCCACTAAACTCCGCTTCCACTCCTCCTTTGGTGCCTCTGCTGGCTCGCTCTCATAGCTCTGATAAATCCTGCTCCTGTCAGTCAGTCTGCTGCCATAGCGATCCTCTGAATAGAGGGAGGGGGAGGGGTCACTCAGGTGTTTGTATGCTGAAGCCTCTGGGAGATCAGAATAGGAGGAAGACTCTTTTGTGTACGGTATGTACTGAGAAACTCCGTCAAATTTGTTCTTCCATCTGTACTCTGAGCCTGTATCTGTAGCCGTGTCCTGGCTATCCTCAGTGGTATTGGCTTCAGTCACTTTACGGTATTTAAATGTGGTATCATCCTCTTCAGGGAGAGATGAATTCTTTAGGGACAGTTTGGTGCTCAGGCTGCTGTAGCCTGAGCTCATTTCGCCCACAGATTCCTTTTCGGCTTTAGGCAGCTGATTCTTTAAAACAAAGACTTCTGAAGCTACTGTCAGGGATCTGGGTAGATACAGAAAAAAGGGCAAAGATGAGAAACACAGAATAAACAGCGCCGGAGTTTGATAGACCACAGTGTATCAAACACTGCAGAGCCTCGTGGTGGTCATGCAATGCCAACAATGCAAATTATACAAAGCAACTTTTATTTTGTCAGGCAAATAAATAAATAAAATAAAGTTTACAAAGGCCTCATCAATGCAAAAACTGGTGCACTAGGTTCCAATCTCAATTTCCTGTCAAGTAGTTGAAGAGTCTGAATTTCTTGTACAAACTGTTTCTAAAATGCAGTTAGTTATGTGACATAATAACTAACAATTAGTTCATGTTCACATAAGCAAACAACTGTCAGCTATAATTCAGGGTTACTCAAAGTCAACACTACATTTATAGTATATGAACTGTGATAAGCAAACTCTTTAGCAATGTCAATATGCTGTATATTTACAGGTATGTACATGCCATGGCATAAAGTCAACAACCCCAAGACGATTTTGTTAATGATAAGTAGACTTGTTTCCAAGCACTTCATAAATGTCTGATTTACTGATGATCAAACGTTTTTTTTAATTGTTTTACACCTGCAAACCTTTCTAACCGGAATAAAAAGGGAAGTTGGGATTTATTCATGGGTGTAGACATGAAAGCCCTCAAATCTGACAGTGTAATTATGCAAAATGTGGTTTCTATTGATATGTTGAGTCTTGCAAGTGCATGCACGCTTCACATACTTGACAAGAGAACAATACATATTTAATGAGAATTGTGTGGGACTTAAATATGCGTTTAATTAAACGGCAAAAAGCTTTCACAAGTCAAAAGTCAATCTGAGTTAAGCCCAGTGAATCATTTGACATTATATTATAATAATAATGTTGTGCTGTTCTCACAGACTGTGGTGACTATCAGGTAAAGGTGAAAAGGGTTGCCAAATGACACACAAAAATGCACATTGTGACTCACTGTCATCATGCACAGGGCGGATTTTACAAATGTCATGAGAATAAAAAAATAAAAGGATACAATTATACAGGTATTTTGTTGTTGTATTGCCACATTTGAGGCAGGCATTTGAGCACTGTAACAGAAAAGGGACAGAGGTAACATTTCATAAAACAATTTAAGAAATACATGAAAAATGAGCAGGAATGTCCACAAGTTTTGAGGACATTTATCATCATAGCATCATTGGGTGCATGTGTGCAACACATTCAGGTTTCAGTGGCCCTGAACAGATTTGGTTCCAAACACAGAGAATGAGTCTCTGTATATTTGTTTGTTCTGCAGATCCAGCTAAATGGTTCAAGAGGTCTAACATAGATGCTGTTTACAATCAAATGTAATTTAATCTCCCCTGATATTGTAAATAAATCACTGAACCTTTAAACAAATACACACTAAAACACAAACTCAGTGTAGTAAGCTTTCAATGGTCGAAAGAAAGGAAGTCTTTATTACTTAACTCATCCTTCACACTGGCATTTATCTTAATATATTCTCGTCAAATTTGTCATTATTTTTTCAATCACCCACACAGATTTCTTTTCAGAAGTGCAATGGAGTAAATTGATTTAAATCCAAGAAAATAAAGAAGGTTTAAATGTGAAATAAAAAAAAGAGAGCCAAAAATAGGATATGGATTAGCGTCTGTGGCATCTTCCCCAAGCCCCTTGATCCCCCAGGTGGATACATTCTGCTCCTGGGACATGTGGGGTACATTTCTGCTGTAACCACAGAACCACACGTCCACACCTATCCCAGAGGGCACCTGCACATTCTGGCGCTGATGCAACATCTCCTCATAGACTGTACTTCTTTCATGCTAATATATGTCATAATATAATAATATGTCATAATAATATGTCATACCTTACTAAATTTAGCAAGGAGACAGATCGACAAGAACATTAGTATATTAAGTTGAATGTTCAGGAACATTATATAAGCCTAAACAAACATACTCAGAAATGGAATTCCATGTGCTGTAACAAGTATCCGCCTCAACAGGGACTCTGAGTTAATGCGTATTAGTATATATAATGACACAAGGGGAAAAAGAGTGTTGCACATGAAAGGAAAGCATACTATGCATGTTTGAATATGGTATCATTTGAGTTCTCTTTCACGCTCGGCCATGCAAAACCGAGGATCAAAGAGTTACATCTGCCTTCATTTAATTTCTCAGTAAATATTAAACTCCTCTTAACCGTGAATACTCCTCTTTCTATACTGATTAACATTCTAAAAATACTTCTCTATTATCTCTATGAGGGTAGTCACTGTACGAACTTTAGTCAAACTTTCCCATCACAAGAGACTATCTTGTGATGGGATCACTCAAGCTGCAATGACCTTGGTTGGCTGGGGTTGCAATAGCCATTCCCCTACTAGCTAAAAAACAATGCCAGCATCGCTGTCAAGACTGCTGAAAACATGTGCATACCAAAAAGGTACAACAAGATGCTTAGGATATATTAGGATAAGCACATTGACACAATGCTGCGAAGCAAATATTAGTATGTGTCTTTACTAGACACAGTACATCTCGGGTGGAGTCTTTAATAATATTGATTTTGAATGGTCGCCAGTCAAAGTGATGTGCCAAGATGAAATCAAGCATGCAGAACACGTGAAGGCGATGGAAACAAACTTTTTAGATCTGGTTGAGTCTGCATGTCTAAAAATATGATTTCTCTCTATAAATCTATGAGTGGGAAAAGAGCACATTTCTTGCTCCCTTTCTCTTTACATATGTTTAGGGCAACCCAGTCTCACAGTCTGCGTACAAATGTCACGACTTTGCAAAGGCGTGCAATAGATACGCAGAAGTCCGATTTTGCATGCATATGATACGCTGATATTGCACCTCAAACATTAAAACAAAGAGCTCTGTGGCTTCAGGCTTGATCGCCGTTCCAATGACAGTTTTAATGTTTGTGGTGCAATAAACGACACAGCAGCTTATTGGGTTAGGGTTAGGGTTAAATAAATGGCAAAGATATGTAGAAAATACACGCATTTAAGATACGTTCATAACAAACGTAATGTGGGAGAAAATTGTAGAAAAAAAACGTATTTGACATACGTTCATAACAAACGTAACGTGGGAGTATCATATGCACGCAAAATCGGACTTCTGCGTATCTATTGCACGCCTTTGCAAAGTCGTAACATTTGTGCGCAGACTCTCTGAAGAGAGCAGCTTTACTAAGCTCAAGGCAGAGGGGTTAAGTGTAGTAGAGACATCATCAATGTGAACATTGTCTTCATACCATGAATCCTAAGCATAGGATGTCGCGTCCAGACCTTATGAGGTTAAGATTTAAAGGGAAGTGCACAGAACCTGCCTGAAGTGATGTCACATGAGTGAGCGTCTGTATAGATGAAGAAAAAAAGATCTAGAGATATGGAGACTTGTATTGCTCCATTCGTTCCTCTGCCTGCTGCTTGAGGCTAAAATGTGAGTTGCATTGTGGGTCATGTATGCGCCAGGTTACTTGAAGGTATAAAATGTGGTATAAACAAAACGTAATCTCTGGTTCTGCTTTTGTTGTTGTCAAAAAATTATAAATCAGTGGAGTGCTCTTTAATATATAATACAACAACAAAAAGAGTACTTTTTACTCAAATGCTGTTGATAAAAAAACTGACATTTAGCCATTTCATACAAAGGGTTGGCTAAATGTCTATGTCAAGACAAGGTGGGAACTTCTTATGGTTATTTCACCAAAGACTTAAATATGTACTTGGTACTCTTTACATTTTAATTAACAAAGACAAATGTCATGTTTTTTGGCAAAGGTGCGGATTAAAGAATTGCCTATCCAGTCAGGATCATGAAATGAGCGATTGTTTTTTTCTGACCAGTTGAAATACATACAGTATAGAGTTTATTCAGTCAGTGAGAGTTAGGGTCATCAGTTCTCTAAAAGGTGGTCCACGTCTTCATCACTAACAGTGTTAAAGTGGCAATGATGTGGAAAAACACTAAAAGAAAGATTTTCTGTTAACCTATCAATTGTCAAACAGTAGGAAAAAGCCTCTAAGAAGTTACTTGTACAGATAGTAGGTGTAAATTAAGTCTGTCAAGCCAAGAGTCAAGAGCTAGGATTTCATGAAGATGTACAGTATTTGGTCACAGCATGATTTACAACAGCGACAATTCTCCACAAGTTTGTCATTCCACTAATTATCAAGGAATCTGTCAGACAAAAGCCAGTCTGTCACACATGAAAGGAAAACAAAAGACAAAGTTTAGTGGCAGAATTCTGACTAAACACCAGCAAGTGGCTCAACTGGCTTTATGGTAACAGAAACATCTCGACACTTGTGTGTTTCTGTAGAAAGAAAACACCCAACAAGGTAATCTGCTGAATTACAATTCTTAAGAAAAGTATCTGTATATCTTCAATCAACACCTTGGATGAGACGGTCGCCACATGTCTTGTTTAGATGCCTTCTTTTTCTCCTTATGACAACACTACAGGAGCCCTGTTAGTGAGGTGGGGCTGGCAGAATACCTCATCTTTCAACAAGCAGCTGGAACAGTGTTGATTTAAGAGTGGAAGTTGGTTGGCAAGTTTTGGAAAATGTACACTGAACAAAAATATAAACGCAACACTTTTGTTTTTGCTCCCATTTTTCATGAGATGAAGTCAAAGATCTAAAACATTTTCTATATACACAAAATAACCATTTCTCTCAAATATTGTTCACAAATCTGAAAAAATCTGTGATAGTGAGCACTTCTCCTTTGCCGAGATAATCCATCCCACCTCACAGGTGTGGCATATCAAGATGCTGATTAGACAGCATGATTATTGCACAGGTGTGCCTTAGGCTGGCCACAATAAAAGGCCACTCTGAAACGTGCAGTTTTGCTTTATTGGGGGGGTCTGGGGGGGTCCGAAAAACCAGTCAGTATCTGGTGTGAGGGGTAGGGTTAGGGTTAGGGTAATGTTGTGAATCGAGTGGCCTGTGTTCGTAGTCCATAACATACGCCT